ACCCGAAACCCGAAAACCCTAAAACCCGAAAACCCTAAAACCCTACAACCCGAAAACACTAAACACTAAACCTTAAAACCCAAAAACATACCAAAGAAAATGCCCCCAAAAAACCTGGCTCCGAACCCGAAGCCCCAAAGGCATAGCCCCCAAAAAAAGCCTAAACCCTAAAACCCCCAAAGCCGAAATCCTCATACCCTTCAACCTTAAACCGGAAAGGCCCTAATCCCTAGAATATCCTATAACCCTTCAACCTTGAACCCAACAGACCCTAACCCCAATAGAAGCCCTAACCCCCCCCCCCCCCCTCCCCCCAAAGCCCTCCTCGGGATTTCCAGGCACCGCTGTACCCGGTCGTGGATCTTCTGGGTGCGGTTCGCCGGCTTTCCCTGCTGCCCAAGGCGCGGTTTGGGGTTGAGGGTTTAGGGTTTAGGGTTAGGGTTTAGGGTTTAGGGTTTAGGGTTTAGGGTTTAGGGTTTAGGGTTTAGGGTTTAGGGTTTAGGGTTTAGGGTTTAGGGTAGTTTGGTAAGTGGTAGTTAGCAGTTGGCAACTGTTAGGGTGTGTGGAAACAACCTGTCTTCCGCTATTCAGGCTCCACCTCGAGTTGGGGGTTTTGGGTTGAGGGTTTAGGAGGTTTAGAGGGCTGAGGGGGCTGAGGGCTTAGCTGGTTTAGGGTGCTTGTGTGGTTCATGGTGTAGGGTTCCGGCGGTTTTACATGCGTAGTTAGGTTCTTACAGGGCTCTGATCTGGTTTAGGAATGTGGCCACTCCCTAAACCCCTAAACCCTGAACCGCTCCTCCCCTAAAAAACCCAACCGCCGAAAGCCTAAACCCTCACTTAACCCAAGCTCCGCAACGATTAAATCCTTAAACCCCTAACCCCTAAACCCCGACACCCCTAACCCCAAAAGATCTACACCCTAAAAAACCCCCCAAACCCCCACCCTTAAAGCCTCAAAACTCCTAACTCCCGAAGCCCTCGACCCCTAAGCCCAACAACCGTAAACCCCTAAGTTCGGCTCTCATTTGGGATGTTCCCCCTTGTTCTAACCTTTCCAGGGATTATAGTACCCCCTATTATAATTCCTATGAAGGACTGTTCGTATAGCGGGGAACTCCCCAAGCTCTCATCTTGGACGTTCGAAGCCGGGAACTAGAGGGGCTCATGTTGGGAGTGCTTAGGGTTTAGGGTTTCTGGGAGTGGTTTAGCAAGTTAAGGGCTTGGTGAGTTTGGGTTTAGGGTTTAGTGACCGCATCTACATCGCGATGATGATTTTACACCCCCCCAGGAGATGTTGCGGGAATCCCCACTTCCGGGCCTACGCCCGTGGCGCTCGAGAAGAGGAAGAGAGTGCAAAGCTGCAGATGGTAGAAGCCGATGACAAGGCGCAAGATGTCTTTCAACCCAATTATTCTCATGGCCCAGGGCATGGTCATGATGTAGAATTCGTGCCCTAAACCCTTAACCCTTAACCCTTAACCCTTAACCCTTAACCCTTAACCCTTAACCCTTAACCCTTAACCCTTAACCCTTAACCCTTAACCCTTAACCCTTAACCCTTAACCCTTAACCCTTAACCCTTTGCGTGATTGCTGGATTGTTTCATCACATCATCATCCAGGCTAGGAGATCTGGAAGGCAGCCAGCGCCACGCACTGATGAGATACAATCCAGCCTTTTTGAACGTCAGACTGGCCACACATGTGCCGGATGGCTGACCCTAAACCCTAAGCCCGAAACCCTAAACCCTGAAGCCTAAACCCTTGGCCTGACCGGGAGATTTTTGAATAAACAGCTCGTTGTCGGAGCTGCTGGTGGCCTTCGTTTCTTAGGGTTCAGTAACTGAAGCGATCAGGGTTTAGGGTTTAGGGTCTAGGGACTGAAGCGACTAGGGCTGATGACCCCGAGCCCCAAACCCTGAACTCTAAGGTTGTGGGAGTCCGGGCGGTTCACTGCTTTCGGAAGTCTGGGGGTTCGGGGTTTAGGGTTTGGGGTTTAGGATTTGGGGTTTGGGATTTGGGGTTTGGGGTTTGGGGGCGTACTGGCTCTTAGGGCATCAGGAACTGACGTCATTCACGGGATTTAGGGCTTTAGGGTCTAGGCTGGACAGAAGGTACCTTTTAGTTCCCTCAGAAGATCTACGGTGCCTAAACCCTAAACCCTTATAAACCCTAAACCCTAAACCCTAAACCCTGCACCCTAAACCCTAAACCCTAAACCCCATACCCTATACCCTATGCTTACGTAGGGCTCTCCGCGAAGAGCTCCAGCAGATGCCAGGCGACCGCGCCTTCGCTGGCAGAGGCCGAGGCAAAGACTGGGTGCGTAAGGTTTGGGGTTTAGGGTTTAGGGTTTAGGGTTTAGGGTTTAGGGTTTAGAGTTTAGGGTTTATGGGTTCGCCTATCCCTCCCCCCTCCTCTCTACTACCCATTGTAGGGGTTTCCCCCCATAGTTAAGGCTACTTAGGGAGAATTATGCCGAATTAAGGCCGTTTAAGGGGGGAACCTAAGGGGGGGTAGTATAGAGGGGGGTAGGGGGGAACCCACGAGGTTTAGGGTTTAGGGCTCAGGGTTTTGGGTTAAGTGTTTAGGGTTAAGGAACTAGGGTTTAGGGGTCCGTTAAGGAACCAGGGTTTGATTTTTTGGGCATCGGGCTTGTACGGTTTAGGGCCGATTGTTCTTTAGATGGGTCTAATTCGGGCTGTAAGAGCCCGTAGGGGGTTGGGGTTTAGGGTTAGAGGTCCTGAGGAACCAGGGGGGTGTAAGGGCCAGGGTGCAGGGTTTAGCGGTTAAGGGATTCCAGGGTTTCATTAAGGGGACTGCCAAGTAGCCATAGTAAGCCCAAAGATGCTTGCAGTAAGCGCTAACAAATGAAATATGCCTATGAATGGGGGGCATGAGCGGGTTGCACCATGGTCATCACGACACCACCATTGCCGTCCATTTTTGAATCATCCACTGTCGGTCATCCACCATCCCCTCATGCCTCCTCCCTGGATTCATCTTACAAACCCTAGCACAAGAATTCAACACTCCCAAACCCCAAAACCCCCAAAACCCCTAAACCTCAAACCCCAAACCCCACACCCCCAAACCCCCAAACCCCAAGCCCCCAAATACCAACCCCCAAAACCCCAAACCCAAACCCCAAAACCCAAAACCCTAAGCCCAACACTCAAACACCCCAAAACCCCAACACCCCAGCACCCCAGCACCCCAGCACCCCAGCACCCCAGCACCCCAACACCCGACACCCCTGCCTGGGTTTAGAGTTTCGGGTGTAGGGTTTAGGGTTTATATGGGCTTCGGGGCTACCCTAAAACGCGGAGTTTTGTTAGGAATTGTGTTTTGCCCGTCCCCCGAAACTGTACCCACAACCCTACAAGCCCTAAACCCTGGCAAATTCTACTACTGTTTGCTTAAGAACCACCCAAAAAAAGAAAGACATTCTTCCTTACAAGGGCACTATAGGATTAACTATTTTTGTTTTTTTTGGGGGGGGGAGAATCCTTAAGCAAAGGATAGTCTAAACCCGAGACCCTAAACCCTCAACCCTAAACCCTAGGGGGGTTCTAGGGATTCTAGGCGAAAACCCTAAACCCTAAACCCTAAACCCGAAACCCTAAACCCTAAACCCTAAACCCTAAACCCTAAACCCTAAACCCGAAACCCTAAACCCTAAACCCTAAACCCTAATGCACGACGCAGGTTGCAGCAGAAGAGGCATCCCCTGAAGGCATCGCGGGCGCCCACCCCGAGAAGGCTGAGAGTTGCTCTGAAGGTTCAGGGTTTGGGGTTTAGGGGTTTAGGGTTTAGGGTTTAGGGTTTAGGGTTTAGGGTTTGGGGTTTAGGGTTTAGGGTTTAGGGTTTTCGGGTTTGGGGTGTTGGGTTTAGGGTTTCGGGTTTCGGGTTCGGGGTATTTACCGACCGCGTGCGAAACCAGGCGTTCACATGATAGGCCCCCCCCTCGTCCCCCCAACGTGACATGGTTCGTTCTGTAGTGCGCACGCACATCATGTTCGGAATCACGCTGAAAATTACCCCTAAACCATAAATCCAAGACCGTAAAGGCCCTAACGGCCATAAAATAAAGACCCTCAAGACCCTCAAGACCCTCAAGACCCTCAAGACCCTCAAGACCCTCAAGACCCTCAAGACCCTCAAGACCCTCAAGACCCTCAAGACCCTCAAGACCCTCAAGACCCTCAAGACCCTCAAGACCCTCAAGACCCTCAAGACCCTCAAGACCCTCAAGACCCTCAAGACCCTCAAGACCCTCAAGACCCTCAAGACCCTCAAGACCCTCAAGACCCTCAAGACTCCAGACCCTAAAGACCCTGAAGACCCTAAAGACCTTAAAGACCCTGAAGACACTAAGAAGCCCAAAATCGTAGAACGCATTCAACTCCAATTGGGTCTTCGAGCCTTAGTTTCGGACCTGCTTCAGGCTTTGGTCCTGTCGTGCCACGGCGGAACAGAAAGGGGGGGGGGGGGGAGGGGGGGTGTAGAGGGGTTAGCCCGGGTTTTGGGGTTTTAGGGTTTCAGGGTTTTGGGGTTTTAGGCTTTCTGGGGTTCAGGGTTTCAGGAGTTTAGCTGTTTTTGGAGTTTAGGAGTGAGGGTGGTGGAGTGAGGGAGGAGGGGAGGGGTTTGGTGCAGAGTGAAAGGGCTTGGGGTGTCGGAGTCCGAGGCGCTAAGATCTTTCCTCCCACAGCATGCCGCAACCCAACGCTTGCGTCGGACCGCCCCCTGCCGCCATCTGCGGGATGCGACACTGACCCAGCTCCTCCTGGATAATGGCGGCGCTTTTCTGACCGATGGGCAGGCCTGTTGGGGTGCTCAACGTCCCTCCTGGTCAGCAGCTTTGGCGGCTCTGGCGTTGACTTGCAGCTGCCCTCCCGTGGAGCATCAGGATCAGGCTTTGGCCTGCTGGCACTGTGGGGGGGGTCTCCCTGCCAGTGCACGCCCGACCTGCGCTACCTTGCCCCTGGTGCCGTGGCTCGAATGGCCCGTCCTGTGCTTCATGCAACGCGGTCATCCACTTTCGTGGGCGCTGCCGTTGGAACTGCGGTGCGCATCGTGCGTATGACACTTCCGCGCTCTCCAATGTCCCTTTTTGCCCTGACTGCTGGCACACTTGGGCCCATAGCCTGGCCGCAGCACCTCGCCGCGCTGATGCTGCGCCTGTCTCAGACCGGCTTCTCCTTCACCTTCGTGGGTTGGCGGCTGCGTGCACCCCCGGCGCTGGGTCCGGGCAAGTGCACTCTACTCCTCTCCCTACCAGGCGGGTCCGACGCTGGCTGCTGCGACGCCTATCTTCTGAGGGTCACGCCCCGCTCTCTCTGCTACTGCAAGAGCTGCGGCAGCTCGCGCAAGGGGTAGCTGAAGACTGGCCACCCGTTGCCCTCTCTCGTGCTGTCCGGGCTCTTCAAAATGAAGGCCTGGCCGTAGTAAACGTAGACTCCTTGGAGTTGCTGCGTCCCGCGTAAAAGTCGGTGAGCATTTGGGGGGCCAGACATGTAAAGGGGTCAGGGGTGTGGGGAATCCAGGCCCTAAAAGTCAGGCCCAGGCCCCCATTCTCACCTCGTTCTCATGGGTCTGGGACAAAGGGCTGTCAGGTGCAGTTTCTGACAGGAAAACTGGCTTAAAATGCCACAGATCCCATCTCTCGTCTCCATATACTGGACTTGTGCTGGTTTTTAGGTGTTTGGTACCCCCTGCACCTGGTCGTGGGCTTGTTTGTTCTCCGCCCCCGTCGTGGAGCGTAAGCAAATACCCCCGTCGTGGTGAGTAAGCAAATAGCCCTTCATCTTAGCAGAAGCTCACAGCACCCTTCCCCTCCCAGGGAACCTCTGAGCCTCCCAAGGCCGCGTAAGCAAACCCCTTTTCTTGAGCCGAAAACCTGGGTTTGGGCATCTGGGCCAGTTGCCACGTAAATCAGCTCTTCTGGCCCAAACCCCCTTTCTCGAGCCGGAAACCTGGGTTTGGGCCAGTTGAAGCAAAAACCGGGCTCTTCTGGCTCAACACCCGTTCTCGTGCATTCTGGTCCACTTGGCCTTTCAGGCCATCCCGTGCCAGGGCCCGGGTGTAGCCTTCCGGCGCTCCACATCTCAGCTTCCCAGGGCTGTAGGTCCTTCTGCGTAAGCAAACCCCCTTTCTCGAGCCGAAAACCTGGGTTTGGGCCAGTTGGAGCAAAAACCAGGGTTTTCTGGCTCAACACCCGTTCTCGTGCATTCTGGTCCACTTGGCCTTTCAGGCCCCCATCCCGTCCCAAGGCCCGGGTGTAACCTTCCGGCGCTCCACATCTCAGCTTCCCAGGGCTGTAGGTCCTTCAAGCCCCCTTTCTCGAGCCGAAAACCCGGCTTTGCGCCAGATGTAGTAGTTCTGGCCCAGACCCCCTTTCTCGAGCCGAAAACCTGGGCTTGGGCCGGATGGAGTGTAAATCAGCCTGTTCTGGCCCAAACCCCCTTTCTCGTGTCCCTCAGCGTCCCGCTTTCAGCACCCCCCATCCCGACCTCCCAGCGCCGCAGGTCCATCGGTCCACTTGGCCTCCGCAGACCTCCTAGTCCATCTCGGCCTCCAGAACCGCAGGCCCATTCGTGTAGGCAAACAGTCCCCTCATCTTGGCCTACCTGGGCTCTTAGACCTTCAGCGTAGGATTGCAGCGCCCGATTTTGTCCTCCCCCATCAGCGTCACCAACCTGCACCACTCATCTCGGCCTCACAGGACGCCCCAATTCTTCTGTGCAGTCTATATACACCCCCCTACTAGCCGTCTACGGCCCCTTTGCTCCATCGGAGTAAGCAATCAGCATCCTCAACGGCCTCTTAGTGTCTTAAGTCCATCGGCGTTAAAGGGCTGGTCTCCCATGACACCGCGCTCCGTTTGTAGACACATACACCGAGTCCTGTTACTCGGCGCAAACAAGGGGGGCCTGCCTTCTGTCCCTTGTCGTAGTTAGTAATCCCAGCCTGTCGGGCCACTGTCCCTCTATTCAAGGATGCTTGGCTGCATTTAGTACCCGCCATCTCGAACCCTTCGTAGCTGCTCTGCGATATGGGGGGGGAAGATGGTGTAGGCCGCAGTAACATCTGTGGGCCATTTCACTCACTCACTCACTCACTTTCCGACCATTTGAGGGTTCAGGGTTTAAAGGGTTTAGGGTTGAGGGCTCCGAATGCAAGGTCAGTACACATATAAAAAGTACTTGTGCGCAGGGACTCAATATCTCCTACGTCCTGACCCCTGAGCCCTTCCAATACTAGGCGTCAATGTCCTAAACCCTAAGCCCTAAACCCTTTTACCAAGTGTAGGGGGGTTGGGGTTTCGAGGTCTTCTGGTATGGACTCGCGGTTTTGTAGGCTTGGCACGAGAGCGGGCAAGCGCCGCCCTAGGCATTTGCAGCGCGGCTTCCACCAGGCCTCTCTTGGTTCCTCGGCTTTTCCGGGGTGCCTGCGGGTTCAGGGATTTGGGGATGTGCATTTTTGAGCCCTAAACCCTAAACACTAAACCCTAAACCCTAAACCCAGGGGTCTGCGATTTCTTGGTGCCGTCTGAGTGTACCCTGAAACTTCAAGGGTTGATTGCAGGCTGGGTGAGGAAACAAGCGCAGAACAACAAAACTCGTTAAACAGCTGTTACAGGGCTTGTTCAACACAGAGTAGCTTACAAAACCTAAGCCCTAAGCCCTAAACCAATAGAAGGCCTGTAGCTTTTGACCAATGTGGGGCAAATCCGAGTGCAGCTTCAATCCGGCAGAGATAGGAGGACTTCCGAGAAGGAGGGTTCAGGGTATTAAGATATTAAGAGGGTTCAGGGTGTTTAGGGTTCAGGGTATATTCGGGTTCGGGGTGTGTAGGGTTTAGGGTATTGAGGGTTCAGGGTATTGAGGGTTTCGGGTTTAGGCTTCGGGCTTGAGGGTATTTTGCCTAGGGTGTGGAATTTGCCGGGGGAGAACAGGGCCCCCCCAAACTCAGCCTTTGAGGACAAGGAAGCTGAAGGGACCTTGAAACCCGGTTTAGGGTTTCTAGCGTCTTGAGGGTTTAGGATGTTTTTTGGGTACTTAGGGTATTTAGGGCATTTCGGTTCAGTGAAAACTTAGGGTGTTTAGGGTACTTAGGGTTTAAGAGGTTCAACGAAACCCTAAACCTTAAGCCCTAAACCCTAAACCCTAAACCCCCAACCCTAAACCCTAAACACTAAACCCCAACCTTCCGGCCCTCTAGCCACCACCGACGAGGTCGCGCCCTGCGTTTGTCTGCCGACTGCTGGTCTGTGGAGCACCAGCGCCTTGCCTTTGGGTTTAGGGTTTAGGGTTTAGGGTTTAGGGTTTAGGGTTTAGGGTTTAGGGTTTAGGGTTTAGGGTTTAGGGTTCGGGGTTAGGGTTTAGGGTTTAAGGTTTGGGGCTAAAGGTGTCGGGTTTACGGTTTTGAGGTTTGGGGTTTAGGGTTTAGTGCTTAGCGCCTTGCCTGCCCAGCGACGGAAGGGCTCATAATTTCCTTCGTAGCCGAATGAGTACACTTTACACGTTTTGGGATACTACAATCTCCTATAGAATTGAAAGTCTGCGGGGCTTATGAACTCAGGGGTTTAGGGTTTCGGGTTACATGACATGAGGGACACGCACCGCATCAACCTGATCTTGAGGACTGAAGCCTAACTCTTCAACCCGAAGCCCTAATCTCAACCCCCCCCCCTACCCCTGCTATTCAATACCCTATTAGAGTTATATTGGGGGGTATTTAATATTCGCGGGAAGGGTGGGCTTAATTTCAGGGGAAAACCCGAAGCCTTAAACCCTACGCACGTTGCGGTGTGCTCGCAGGTCCGCGGCCTGCCAGTCGCCAGGGGGCCATCTCAGAGCCCCCAAACCCTAATGCCTTCAACCCTGGACCTCCATGTAGGCTGAACCCTAAACCCTAAACCCTAAACTCCATGTTCCTAGGTTGCTCCAATCTTAAATGGGTGACCTTGTTTTGCCGGTTAGTCTGGGACCTAGTAAAAGCATCCACTGAGCGCACTTAGGCACCCGCCTGCTTCACCCGGTAGGTGCAGGGCAAGCACATATATTCATGTGAATATTCTATTCTCTCTCTATATGTGTATATATATATATATTTATTTATTTATATATATATATATATATACATCTATAGATATATACATATGTGAACATATAGATGCCATCATTGCGTATGTATAGTTTTACATGTAAGTTTATGTACCTTTGTGAGATTTATACATCAATGGATGGGGGTAAACCCTAGACCCTACACCCTACACCCCAGACCCTGAACCCCATACACCAAACCCTAAACCCTAAACCCTAAAACCTAAACCCTAAACCCTAAACCCTAAACTTGGACGGCTGAGGAGCGGCGAGTCGCTCCACGGCACCCTCCCAGCAATTGGACTCACAGTCTCCGGGGGGCCCTTCTGTTGCTGTACGATGGGCGTATGGGATCTTGACCTCGGTAGGTTTAGGGTTTAGGGTTTAGGGTTTAGGGTTTAGGGTTTAGGGTTTAGGGTTTAGGGTTTAGGGTTTAGGGTTTAGGGTTTAGGGTTTAGGGTTTAGGGTAACGGGTAACGGGTAACGGGTAACGGGTAACGGGTAACGGGTAACGGGTAAAGGATGCGTGGTGCCACTTGTTGGGGTTCACTTGGTTCCCAAGGAGCGGGCAGGATCCATGTAAAGAACCCCAAGCCTCCTAAACACGGAAACCCCCCAAACCCGGTACCCTGATTAGGGTTCAGAGTTTAGGGCTTTAGGGTTTAGGGTTCAGGAAGCTCTCAGGGGGATGTCTACTCTCTTGGCCTGCCCCGACAAAGCTGGGCACCTGTCATATGTCATGATTCTATTTTTTTCGAGCGAGGATGAAAGAAGTTGGAGAAGTGAAGACAAGAAGCGAGTGGCAGACCCTAAACCTTAAACACTCAACCCTATAATTCCCTAAACCCGAAACCCTAAACCCTGCCCGTCAGGTACCGCTTTAGGGGCCGCGCACACCGAGTTCGTCGCAGGGGCCGGCCGATACTTTGAGGCCCCCAGTGGCCTCTCACATTTGGGTTTTGGGTTTAGGGTTTTGGGTTTAGGGGTTTAGGGTTTAGGGGTTAGGGTTTTGGGTTTAGGGTTCAGGTTCAGGGTTTAGGGTTTAGGGTCTTTTGGGGTTTTCTGGGCTTCGGGGCTTTTGACCCAAGTCCGCCTAGTCCCCTAACCCCAAATTCGCTGCACTCCTGCCCTTTCTTTGCCGACCTCAGGTGCACGTCGACGAGGCCCTTGGGCACTGCACTGCGCAGCGTACCTCATTTCGGGCCCTGATTTGGGGGTTTAGGGTTTCGGGTTTAGGGTTTAGGGTTTGAGAAAGGATGGGTTTAGGGTAGG